GAGATGTGCAGGAGGCAGCTGATCGATGTTTCTCTCTCATCGATGTTTCTAACTCTCTATCCCTCTCCCTTCCTCATATATAAAAGACATCATATTTGCAATACATACGAACCATCCAAGAATTTAGAATCTAGAATATAAAAAAATGAACAAACTTCTATGTGTTAGTAAAGAATCATATCCAATCTAATTGTGCAAAAGACTCGAATGAGCACATGCAAATGGAGAAACCTTCTGAATATAAATATATTCCATAAAAAATATTTTTTTTTAAAAAAAAAGGAAAAAAAACCCCTGGTTTTGAACGTTTCTAGATGCGCCAGTCGTGGGCTGTTTTTCTTGACTGTCCACTCCTTAACCTCCTGGGGCCCCTGTAACATGAGTCAGCCTGCGGGGCCACCGCGTCCGAGAGACCTTCCGGCGCGAACATTCCCCGATACCGTGAAATAAACAGAACGCTGGCGGGCGATAGCGGCTCCATTTGGATCGGCTCCTCGTCAGATAATGGACTTGGAAGGCGTCCCAGAAACCGCTGCCTAAGCCCCGGCCCTGACAGCTCCATCTTTCTTTAGCCGCCGCCTCCCGAGGGCCAGGCCTTTCTTTCCAGGCCTCTTACCTGGGGTCCCTCAGCAGCCTCGCACCTGTGTTGGTTTCTTGCCCTTTTTTACTTTTTAAGTATATTTTTATGGATCTCAGACAGGAAGGGAGAGGGGGAGAGAGAGAGAGAAGCATCCATGATGAGAGGGAGTCATGGATCGGCGGCCTCCTGCACGCCCCACACTGGGGATGGAGCCCCCAACCGGGGCCTGTGCCCTGACCGGGAATCAAACCCCGACCTCCTGGTTCATAGGTCGACGCTCACCATTGAGCCACACCGGCCAGGCGTGGTGTCGGTCATGTTAAACCCGGAGCCGTCGCATGAGGACGCGCTGTGCAGAGTGGGAATTCACTGAGATCCACAGCCTTGATGTTTTCTGCTCTGACCCACTTTCTCCGACTTGAATAAGATCCTGGATCAGAGAGACGGGTCAGAAGCCAAACGTGCCCCTTTTATGTTCGCTGGAGATTTGGGGAGATTTTAGAAAGCTTTTAACATAACAATAAATTCTGATAGATCTCCACACCTTCCTATTCATCTTTTTTTTTTTTTTAAAGAAACACGTAGTTCGTTATGTACGGTGGGTAATTTATAGCCGAGATCAGCACACCCATTAGTGGAGCTGCAGATCGCGCCGTTCGGGGGGTGTGAGAACACATCTGCCGCGTGAACGGAGGAGAGGCAAGGCGGCAACTGCTCCCGACACATATTTCACGGCCTGAAAAAGGAGTAAACGTGGAATGTGACCCAGGCGGGCGATGGAGGCCCTGCAGCCGCAAGACTAGCCGCGCGAGGATGCATTTTCGCATTTTTTTATGTTTTACTTATTTTTATTGATTCCAGAGAGGAAGGGAGAGGGGGAGAGAGAGAGATAGAAGCATCCGTGATGAGCGAGAATCATGGATCGGCTGCCTCCTGCACGCCCCACACTGGGGATCGAGCCTGCAACCCGGGCCTGTGCCCTTGATCTGAATCGAACCCGGGACCCTTCAGTCCGCAGGCCGATGCTCTATCCACGGAGCCACACAGGCCAGGGCCCAGCCTCACTATTTGAAATGGAAAGTGCTTGCCTCACAGTCCCAGCCTCCCTCACACAATCTTGAGTTTATTTCCCAACACTCAGCACCTTCTCACGTACTGTTTAATAGATCGCATTATTTCTTGCTACTTCTCTCTCCCACTCCATTCCTCCCCGCCCCCCCCCCCCACCCCCACCAGCTGTTGTAGCATCACCAAGACTTGGATTTGGGTCTGTTTTATTCATTTTCAGTATTTCAGGCGCTTAGAAAAGTGCCCGGTGTGTAGCAGACATGCCATTACGTGTTTATTGAATGATGGAATTCATGGATCCTTCGGGCCGGTGGTCGTGAAGTTCAACAGACTTCGTGCTGGAGAAAATTATTTCATGTCTGTCTGTGGATATTCCTGGGGGGCGCTATTGTCCCATCGATGCTGCTTTTAAATTATTAGGTCTAATAATAAGTAGCGCTGAATGGGCTTCTTATACTCTTCACTTGCTTTTCGGGTCATTATGCCCTGGCAGGCTAATTTAGCATGTGATAGGTTAACTATCACGTGACCATGGAATCTTGGCCAGGAAATAAAAATAACAATATATTTCTACTCCTTCACGTCCTCCGTTCTCTGGATTTAAGCTCGAGACGGGCCCGGCGTGTTCCCACTTGTTACAACAGGCCGTGTGTGTATATACAGCGACTGGCTGAACCTCTCGCCATTAGCAGGTGCCCATAAGTAGCTGATGACTTAATTTATTATAACACTTTAGTGTAGTTTTCACTAAGCTGTCAAGGTTTACGGAGCATTTATAAGGTGAAATATTTAAATCGGGCTACCTGGTTCTTTTTTAGCCCCGAAGAAAGGGAAATGTAGAGACCCCTAAGAAATGAATATATTTTAAAAGTAGTTTAGTTTTTTTAGAATGTTTTTTTAAATTGTGAGTGATCTCTGGTTCGCTTAAAATGTCTTTTTCTCCAACCCTCGAGGCTTGGATTTTTTAAAAAAATATATTTTATTGATTTTTTTACAGTGAGGAAGGGAGAGGGATAGTTAGAAACATTGATGAGAGAGAAACATCGATCACCTGCCTCCTGCACACTCCCTACTGGAGATGTGCCTGCAACATGTATGTATACAAGATACATGCCCTTGACCAGAATCGAACCTGGGACCCTTGAGTCCACAGGCCGACGCTCTATCCACTGAGCCAAACCGGCCAGGGCGAGGCTTGGATTTTATTAGCTTAGTTATCTTCATGTCCAAGAAGGGCTGCCAATAGATCATTTTTTGCAACACGGCCATTTTTCCTCCGGACTGAAAACGCGTTTGGGTGTGTGGTTGTGTCTAGTGTGTCACTTCTGGGGGTTGGCTTCTGTGCTTTAGGTTAGCACACAAAAGAGCACCCCGACTTCCTGTTCCCCAGCCGGCAAAGAGGTGCTCCACTGACCCCCTCTGCCCCGAACAATCTTTTTGAGCGTTTATTATTACTAGTTTTAATTCTCACCCGAAGATATTTTTTCATGTTGATTTTTAGAGAGAGAGGGAGGGAGGAAGGAAGAGAGAGAGAAAGAGAGACATTGAGGTGAGAGAGACACATCGATTGGTTGCCTCCCACATGCACCTGCAACCCGGGTACGTGCCCTTGACTGGGGATCAGACCAGCGTGCGACCCTACCGTGCTCTGGACTAAAAAGCCAAATAGGAAGATTGACGTAAACCCATCATCTTAGCGCACTCCTGCCTTCCTTTAAAAACCTGCTGCCGTCTCATTTTCTGTGCTGTCTCGGGCACTTTCGTTTTTATTCGCAGTGTTTCTTGTCATTCCTCTCAATACCAAGTCACTCTTTCAAAACTCATGACCTAGGCCAGTGGTCGGCAAACTCATTAGTCAACAGAGCCAAATACCAACAGGACAACGATTGAAATTTCTTCTGAGAGCCAAATTTTTTAAACTTAAACTCTATAGGTAGGTACATGGTTATTCACTGAATTAGGGTCCTCCTAAGGCTTAGGAAGAGCCACACTCAAGGGGCCAGAGAGCCGCACGTGGCTCGCGAGCCGCGGTTTGCCCACCACGGAGCTAGGGATGTGTGTTTGCTAACAGTTACCCAAGGTTAAGGCCCTTACAAAACCGTCGCTTTCCAACACAGGCTGTTTTCTCGTTCGCAGTTTATTTCTCTGCCCCGGTAGCCAAACCTGTTCTTATCTTTTTCTCTTTTTTTTCTTTTTCTCACTGTGAAATGCGAGGGAGTTATTGGAGGGGAGGTGTGGCCGGGAACCAACTCCACTTGGAAGGTAAAAGAAGCTGTTGTTGAAGCAAAAATAGAAAAAGGGAGTTGGGAGAACTCTTGCCCTTCAGCATTCCCGCCGTGAGTCCCACGGCCCAGCTCCCCCCGGGGGCGCCTGTGTTTGTGTGGGCGCTCATACGACGTGGGGGTGCACGGACCCCCAGACCCATCCTCATGAAGCATGTGGCTGAGCTGTGTCCGGCCGTCCCTGGTGGGCTTGGCGGCCCGGTCGGCGATAACACGAGGCATTTAGGCGGGTGATGGATGGCCATTGGGTCACACAGCAGGGCCGTCACCCCCAACGCTCACTCACCCCCAGAAACGCGTCATCAGGGGATGGTCGGGGATTTATCTCTCTCCGGACCTGAGCCGTCCCACTCCACGTAAAATAGGGGGATTATTTCCAGTAAACACAGAGATGGAAACCTTTTAGAAAGTTCCGCAGTCTTAATCTCTTCAGGCGAGGGGAGGCCTTTAAAAGGATGCCTTCCCTGGGCCCGATCGTCAGGGACAGATGGCTTTAAATTTATCTCTCTGCCTCGCCTTGTTTTTTTTTGTGGTTTTTTTTTCAAAAGGATGCTTTGCCCGTCACATTCGATCCCTCTGGCTTGATGGATAATTCTGGGCTGGAAATGGGTGCAGGCCGAATTTTGAAAGCACTTTCAACTGCTTTTCTTACGAATTAGCCATTCATTCTGTGGATCAGGGATGCCCACTTTAGAAGTGACTGCCTCTGACCTAAGGGAGGATGGAATGAATAATTCTACACATGACAGCCCAGCCAGGATGGTGAGCGTCGACCTAGGAACCAGGAGGTCATGTTTCGATTCCCTGTCAGGGCACAGGCCCGGGTTGCGGGCTCGATCCCCAGTGTTGGGCGTGCGGGAGGCAGTCGATCGATGAGTCTCTCTCACCATGGATTTTTCTATGTCTCTCCCTCTCCCTTCCTCTCTGAAATCGATACAAGTATATTTTTAAAAAAGAGAGGTGTACTTACTTGTTGGTAAGCGGTTCGAATCACCTCTGCTGTGTTATACTTCGGGACAGGACGGGTTAGATGAGGGTGCTGAATTTTGCTGGAGGAATTTGATCTTCATGGGACAGGGGTCTGACACTCGTTGGATGCTGCCTGTGTCAGTGACTGTGCAATGAAGCGCATCCATCAGGTTAAGTTCATGTAAGGTTTGCGGCTACGCCCCGAGCGGATACTGTGGCCACAGAGGCCGGGAGGGGCCAGCAGGCCTCCATGCAGACTCCTGTGCACTAAGCAAGCTGCCCAGAGCCTGGATCGTTCTTCCTGCACTGTCCATATGTCTATACATTGATTGATTGATTGATTGATTTCAGAGAGGGGGAAAGAGAGAGATAAAAACATCAATGATGAGAGAGAATCATGGACCAGTCGCCTCCTGCACGCCTCACACTGGGAATGGAGCCTGCAACCCGGGCATGTGCCCCGACCGGGAATCGAACTGTGATCTCCTGGTTGCTAGGTTGATGCTCAACCACTGAGCCACGCCCGCCAGGCCCTCCTGCAGTTCCCGATTCCCATTCGTGAAGTTCGTCTGTGCATTTATATTTAAATAATGAGCTGCTGTTCCTGAGTCCTGGCTATTGCAATTCTGGGAGCATTTTCTTGTCCTGTGTGTGTGTGTGTGTGTGTGTGTGTATATACACACACTAGAGGCCTGTTGCATGAAGATTTGCACAATAGGCCTTCCTTCCCCTGGCTGCCGGCACCGGTTTCCCTCCGGTACCTGGGACCCAGGCCTCTGGTCCGGCCGCAGCGGAGAAGCCACACCTCTTCAGCTTCAGTCATCTTTAGTATTCATTTGGCCAGAGCCTTCAGTCTTCGCTCTGCGCCTGTGTCTGCACATTAACCCGCCATCTCTGTTGGGTTAATTTGCATACTCATCCTGATTGACTGGAGGGCGTAGCGGAGTGACGACCAATTTACATATTTCTCTTTTATTGGTGTAGGTGTGTGTGCGTGTGCATAATTATGTTTCTGTGAGTGTCTGCTGCTCATGTCTTTGATATACGTGAGCCTTTACTCTGAGGAGAGCTATGACGATGAACCCATCCGACTCTCTTCCATTTCAGTTCATCGACGGGCGGCTGGTGAAACTGAACTCAGGAAAGGGCTTCTCCGACGCCTTCGAGGAGGAGATCACCTCCGGGGGCTTTTCTGGAGGTAAAGACAACGTCCCCGGGCGAGGACCCGTCTTCCAGGGGATCCTCTCCCCTGTGTCTGGCAGCAGCGGCTTGATGCCCCGCTGTTTCCCCCTAAACGGGTGATGTGTCAGAGGCATCCTCTCGCCTCAGCGGGGCCGCACCATCCACTTCCTTCGCCTGTTCCCGCGACTCACAGCCTTGGGGTGGAGGGGCTCCCCAAGGGGTGATGGTTTGGGTCACCACCTGCTGTTTCTGGACATAAACACACAGAGAGGCAGGTGCTGGCCGCTCCCTGCCCGTCCTCCCGGCCAGCGCTGTCTGCTCGGACGTACGAGGGATGCTATTGCCCAGGGGACAGGCCACAGACAGGGCACAAGGCCGTGCCCTCTGAAAAGAGGGTGGAATGCCACATAGCTTCTGGATGCTCAGTGAGTCGATTTTGTAGAGGTTCGACCTTCTTTTGTTGTTGTTAATCCTCACCCGAGGATCTTTCCCACTGCTTTTTTTTTTTTTTCAGAGAGAGTGGAAGGGAAGGGGAGAGACACAGAGAGAGAAACGTTGATGTGAGAGATGTCACCATCGATGGGTTGCCTCCCGCGCACATCCGTCCTGACCAGGGCCAGGGATGGAGCCTGCCGCCTAGGGACGTACTGATGGGTTGCCTCCCGCGCACATCCGTCCTGACCTGGGCCAGGGATGGAGCCTGCCACCGAGGGACATGCTCTTGACCCGACTTGAACCCAGGACCCTTCAGTCCGCAGGCTGACGCTCTATGCACTGAGCCACACCGGCCAGGGCTCATCATGGATGTTTCTCGCTCTCTGTCCCTCTCCCTTCCTCTCTGAAATCGATAAAAATATATTTTTAAAGAAGACGTGAAAAGACAAATAGCACTCTTCTAAAGATGCCCCCACGCTGAATTTTACTCTTAAATGAGATCTATTTATGCAGCCTGGAAACAGAAAAGCCATCGCCGTCATCTGTCCGTTTGTTAAAGACGTACAGGGGAGCCCAGCGCGGTGGGCCTTGGCCCAAAGGAAGACAGAATTTCCCTGGAAGCACTTATTTTTGGGGAAAAACTTAGCGGACTTGACTCTGCAGGTGCCGAGCCCGAGTCCCCCACCTCCCGGCTCCCCTCAGCTCACTGGGAGGAATTTAGCTTCAATGGGACTTCTGTGTTAAAATAAGACTTTTTATTTTTTATACTTTTCACCTCAGACAAGCAAAGCATTGTCAGCTCCTGGACAAATGGCTGGAGGCATCGATTGGGTATTTACATAACTGCTGTCTCATTATCTCTGTGACCCGTGGGGCTGGCGGCACCCCCGGAAGGGAAGGTGACATGGGTGACAGTAATAGGGCGTGAGCCTTTCATGTGGATGGATTGTGAGTGGGTCCCCATTCCACGGCGATGGAGCGGGGCCCGGTGGCTTTGGTGGCTTTTCCGAGGGGCGGTTCCTGCCGATGTCACTGTCGGTCTTATTGTTTGAAAAAAGGATGGGGGGATAGCGGCCCCCAGCGGGCACCTGACTTGGGGACTGCATTTTCAGTCCGACTTCATGCCAGCCACCTTGTTCTTGAAAAACGCAAAAGGTTTTGGATTCTTCTTTTTTTGGTCTATTTTTTTTTTTAATTGATTTTAGAGAGGAAGGGAGAGGGAGAGAGAGAGAGAAACATCAGTGATGAGAGAGAATCATGGACCGGCTGCCTCCTGCACGCCCCACCCTGGGGATCGGCCCGCAATCTGGGCACGTGCCCTTGACCAGGAATCGAACCCTGACCTCCCGGTTCCTAGGTCGACGCTCAGCCCCTGAGCCACGCCGGCCGGGCTGTCCTGTTTCCCTTCTTACTGACGAAGGGAGCGGAGGAATTTGAAGGGGTGGTAACCGATCATCAGTTTTAGTGTCATTTTTTTGGCCGCACCAAGCAATTTAGACCGATTTACATGTTTGGGGGATAAGACGCTACAAATGACTGGAATTTAGACAAATACGTTAGGAGAGACGGGCTTGGCGCAGGCCAGAGAGAGAGTCTGTCCTTGAGTGTGAGAAAAATCGCTGTTTTGATGAACAAGAACAATGTGAAGAATTTTCTCAAAAAATGCTGATTCTTCCCATAATCCTGTTGCTCGAACAGAAGGTCTTGGGGATTTTTTTCCCCTTCTTTTTTCTTTCATTTTTGGCATCCAGATGCATTTTTTAAGGAGAAAAACAGCCTTTAAAAAAGAACATTTTCAAAGAATAATGTGCTTGTCTCTTCAATTTTGTGCTAATAGGAGCCTTGGATCTTAAAAGCACGAAATTTAAAGAGACAAGCATCCTTTAGACTTTTTTTTAAATACCCACAGGTTTCTACCTAAATTATACAGCATGTTTTCCTATCATCTTAGGCAGTTTTCTTAGGGACTTCTAGTTTGCCCTGCGACACATAATTCCAGATTCTTTTTTTAAAAAATATATATTTTTATTGATTTCAGAGAGGAAGGGAGAGGCAGAGAGAGAGAGAGAGAGAAACATCAGTGATGAGAGAGAATCAGGGATCAGCTGCCTCCTGCACGCCCCACCCTGGGGACCGAGCCGGCAACCCGGGCATGTGCCCTGACCGGGGAATTGAACGGTGACTCCCTGGCTCATAGGTCGACGCTCAACCCACTGAGCCACACCGGCTGGGCCCAATTTTAGAGTTGAAAAGTACAACTCCAATAATGCCATGGAGGTAAAAAACAAAATTTGAGAACAAAATTGGAAAGGGCTGAATGTGAGCTATAGATATAATGTTATTTATGTCAATTTTGTCTCAATTTTAAAAAGATGAGCTGTTTTAGGGATTCTGTGTACCAGATACTCGCTGGGTAGCCGTTGGGACATTGCTTTCTTAAGCATTTAAACAGCCAGGAAGGCAGCCTGGCCGGCGTGGCTCAGTGGATTGAGCGTCGACCTATGAACCAGGAGGTCACGGTTTGATTCCCGGTCAGGGCACATGCCCAGGTTGTGGGCTCCATCCCCAGTAGGGAGCGTGAAGGAGGCAGCCGATCCATGATTCTCTCTCATCATGGATGTTTCTCTCTCCCTCTTCCTTCCTCTCTGAAATCAATAAAAAAATATATTTGAAAAAATTAAACAACCAGGAAGGCCGATGAAACCTGACTCAGTCAGTTGCTATCGGGCAGTGATGGCGAACCTATGACACGCGTGTCAGGTGACACGCGAACTCATTTTTTGGGTTGATTTTTCTTTGTTAAATGGCATTTAAATATATAAAATAAATATCAAAAATGTAAGTTTTACTATGGTTGCAAAGATCAAAAAATTTCTATCTGTGACACGGCACCAGAGTGAAGTTAGGGTTTTTCAGAATGCTGACACGCCGAGCTCAAAAGGTTCCCATCACTGCTGTAGGGCGTGCCTTCCGGTGAGCTGTGGGGCTTCTGATGTCTTTTTATCGACTAAATGGCCATCTTAGGAGCCGGATATGCGGTCACTGGTGTTATTGGCACTGGATTTGCCTGCCTCCGAGCTTTCCAGCGACTGTGATGACCAGCGGCCTAGAAGCCGCCACCACTACACTCTTCCTGGCGTGAATCTCTCACACTTGGGTTCTCAACTAGAGACTTTTCCAACGGGAGCAGCAGTTGAATTGCATTGAAATCAAATTTGTTGTCCATGAAAATTCACATCGAACATCCATAGAGAATCTTTTTGGTTCTCAAGGTCCTCTGCATGTCTCAATTTGCTTATAGTTGTTTTTTGTTGTTGTTTTTTTGTTTTTTTAAATATATTTTATTGATTTTTTACAGAGAGGAAGGGAGAGAGACAGAGAGCTAGAAACATCGATGAGAGAGAAACATCGATCAGCTGCCTCCTGCACACCCCCTACTGGGGATGTGCCCGCAACCCAGGCACATGCCCTTGACCGGAATCGAACCTGGGACCTTTCAGTCCGCAGGCCGACGCTCTATCCACTGAGCCAAACCGGTTTCGGCTATAGTTGTTTTTTTATCTTATCCACTTGAAATATTATCTTAAGACGAACCTGATTGTGTTAAAGAGGCAAAAAAAAAAAAAAGGTAAAAAAGACACGAAACATTGAAAAATCAGTTTTTAAAAGATGCGGACATCTTGGCTTTCGAAAGAGAAAGATTGTATTTTTCCCTCTCTGAAGACACTATTAAAAAATGCATGACTCCATCCACTGTATTTTGGGGAATTGTGTGTGTGTTTTATTTCTTGGAAGGCTGATAGGAACTTGGGTCTTGACCAAAAAGTCAACATGTACTTATAAAAATCTTGATATGTGATACACCGACTAAAGTGAAGTTTATGATTTTCTTCGAGTTGACTTTGCTACTGTGCAATGAAAGCTTTAAATAAATGCATAATTATTAAGAATGAAAAAAAAAAAGAAAGACGGCAGCATATTTTAACGTCTCGGCTTCATCTGTGAGCGAAGAAAAAGTGTCTGTGCTTAAAAATGGTGGTGATTGTTCGAAGAATTAGAACAGTTTCTTCTTTCTTACGGCATTTCGTTGCTGCTTCCACCGCGGTGCAGAAAAGTAGAAGTTGCTTGCTAAATTCCCGGCAGTACTCGCTCTTGATAAATTTTGGCCTGTGGATTTATTTCTGCTCAAATATTCCTGACATCTTACTTTTGCCTCTCCCAGGGAGCCCGAGGTCGTATCAGCAGTGGGTACACACGGTCAAGGTAATGATAGCCTCCCAGAATTTCTTCTCCTTCCACTCTCTGTCTCTGGGTTAGGTTCAGCCAAAGTATGCAGTGTTTTGGCGGCCTTCTCAATGTGTGTGTTCTCACATTTCAGCATCTTTGTTTCATGCTGAGAGCTTGCTTGGATTTATGAATACAATTCCCAATGGAACTCTTTTGTCCTGAGAGAGATGGCTTCTTTTGAAAAAGCAAGATTTCACTGCCACCTTGAATTCTATTCCAAAACAGGGAATTGGGTGGAATAGTGAGATTTGGGGGGTGGGGGGGGAGACTTTTTCCCTTTCCGGTACAGTTTTCTTTTTTGTTAATACAGTTTTTTCAAATATATAAAGCCCCTCTTCCACATATCTAGACTTTATTACCCAATGTAAAAATAGTCGTGTTTCTTTTTTATGATGTTTAAATATACACCTGTTACTGGCCATATTGCTGCAGTAGGCTTCATCTTCCAGGGTGAGCCCGGCTGGCGTGGCTCAGTGGTTGAGCGTCGACCTATGAACCAGGAGGTCACGGTTAGATTCCCAGCCAAGGGCACAGGCCTGGGTTGTGGGCTCCATCCGCAGTGGGGGGTGTGCAGGAGGCAGCCGGTCCATAAGTCCCTCTCATTGTTGCTGTTTTGTAGGCCTTCGTTTGACCTGTGACTAAAGCTTTTTTTCTGCCCTATCACCCGTGCTTGTTTCCAGGGCCACCTGGTCGACCGTATTTGGAAATGAGTGTCTGTGTTTCCTTTGCAGAAAGGAGGCGCCCTGTTCAACTCCGCGATGACCAGAGCGACCCCCGCGGTGCGGACAGCGTATAAATACGTGAGCCTTCATTGGATACTTAAAAACCCCACCGGTAAAATTTTACGGCATGGTTTTAGGCAAGAGACCTGTCAGTCTCGATGTTCCCTACTTTCCTTTTAAATACAATGGTGAAAAATCAGAAATAACACTGACCAAAAGAAATCCAAGTGCTCGAATGGTGTCATTATATAGAGAGGCTATCTATAATAATAAAAGGGTAATATGCTAATTAGACCGGACGTCATTCCGGATGTCATTCCGGATATCCTTCCTGACGAAGCTGGGTCTGGAGGGAAGCCAGCCGGGTCCCAGGTACCTGCGGGTAGCCCAGGGGAAGCCAGCCTGGATCCTGGGTGCTGGAGGGAAGCCAGTGCCAGCAGCCGGGGGAAGAAGCCCTACTCTTGCATGAATTTTCACGCATCGGACCTCTAGTTTTATTTATAAAAGCTAACAATGGCTCCTCATTGTGTTATTTTTAAACATATTTGTATTGATTTCAGAGAGGCTGGGAGAGGGAGAGAGAGAAAAAAACATCAGTGGTGACAGAGAATCATGGATCGGCTGCCTCCTGCGCACCCCACACTGGGGATCGAGCCCCCAACCCACCCAGGCACGTGCCCTGACCGGGAATCGGACCCAGTCTGCAGGCCGACGCTCTACCCACTGAGCCAAACCGGCCAGGGCTGGGGGACTCGTTCTTCACGCGGCAAAAGGAGCGTTCTGAGCCCGACACTCGGATTCATGTTTTCCAGGCAAAAAGCCACGCCAAGCAGGGCATCAAGGAAGTGAAGAGCAAGCTGAAACACAAGGTGAGCCTCCTCCTCCCGCTCGCGCAAGGCTGGTGCTCAGACCTCGCAGACCACACGGGATGTGTGCTTTTAATGACTTTGAAGTGTGCTTAGCCCTGTGTCCGGGAATGGATTTTTCATAACAAGCCCCCTGGAAACCGCCTGCCGGGCTGTGCGCGCCCACGGAGCCCTCTCTTTATCGCTTGCATATTTTATCACAGGGCTCCCGAGATCTTCAAAGATGCTCGAACAGGAGGTGTTGTTCCCGTAAAGTTCATGGCCTTGATATAGCTACCCCTCCCAAAATGCTTTGCTGCAAGCCGATCATTTTTTATGTATTTAAGAAAAAATTGGTTTTAAGTAGGTATTTTTATTGATTTCAGAGAGGAAGGGACAGGCAGAGAGGGAGAGAAACATGAATGATGAGAGGGAGTCATCGATTGGCTGCCTCCTGCACGCCCCCCTACTGGGGATGGAGCCTGCAACCCGGGCCTGTGCCCTGACCGGTAATCGAACCATGACCATAGGTCGACGCTCAACCACTGAGCCACGCCAGCCGGCCGGGTGAAGCTAACGATTTTTTAAAAGAAGATGATTTGGGGTGCAGGATTAAGCCATGAATGCCCTCCTTTGGTCTATGACAGCGGTTCTCAACCTGTGGGTCGCGACCCCTTTGAGGGTCGAACGACCCTTTCACAGGGGTCGCCAAAGACCATAGGAAGGCCATCCCCTCCCTGCGTGAAGCCCTGTGGGTTAGTCTAGGGCAGCGGTTCTCAACCTGTGGGTCGCGAACAATGAAAATACATCTTGCATATCAGATATTTACATTATGATTCATAACAATAGCAAAATTACAGTTTTGAAATAATTTTATGGTTGGGGGTCACCACAACATGAGGAACTGTATGTATTAAAGGGTCGCGGTGTTAGGAAGGTTGAGTAACAGTAGCAACATTACAGTGATGAAGTAGCAACGAAAATAATTTTATGGTTGGGGGTCACCACAACATGAGGAACTGTATGTATTAAAGGGTCGCGGTGTTAGGAGGAAGGTTGAGAACCACTGGTCTGTGAGCTCTTTCCAATAGTAGCTGCTTTACACTACATTTGTCCTTCATTGACAAAGGTTTGTGTGTGAGGTTGTGTACTGGACTCTGCGAACATCGCATATATATGCATATTTATGCGTCTGTGTGTATGTCTGTTTGATTTGATTACACATTACAGCTCAGTAGATTTTTTTATCGGTTCTCTTTTGAAATTGTACCTTCGGAGACCAATAATCCCACTCAGAACTTCCATGGTCGCGACGGAGGGTGAATGATCCTCGTACGCGTTTGACTCAAATTACTCAAAATAGAGATTATTCTGGAAATGGTTCATTCACGACACAGAACAATGCAGGGGGGCCTACTCTTCTAAATAGAGCCTTTACGTGCAGCCTGGGTGTTCTTCTGTTATTTACGTCTGTGTCGGACGGATGCTCGGCTGAGGAACCCAAGGGCGTCCATCAGTCATCCGAGCAGCGTTGTGACATCACTGCTCGTCTCTCTCCACGTGCAGGAGACGGAGGACGACTGTGGGGCCTACTCCGGTTTTGTGCAGTACACCCCGGTCTACACCTTACACAACGACCAGGGGCCAAGCCGGGAGAAGCGCAGGCTCACCCAGGTACGGCTGCCCGCCCGCGGGCCTCCGGGAGGGGGTGTGCGGGAGGCAGCAATCGATGTTTCTTCTCTCTTTGCTTCTTCCTTCCTCTCTCTCTAAAAAACAAAATAAAGTAAAAATTATAAACTATATTTAAATAACTAGTTAACAATGTTAAATAATGATGATGATGATGATGATGATGATGATGATGATTCCGCCAGTGAGGCAACCTCTTCTACCCACTGCCATCAGCTGGGAAACATTTACAGCGGGGCCTTGACTTATGCGTTTAATTCGTTCCGAGACCAAGCTCGTTAAGGAGCTCGTTAACTCAAATTACTCTATCAACTCAATGCAAAAAATCGGCCGAGAGACAGCTGGTATCTCAAAAAACTCGTTAGCGGGAGCACTCGTAAGTCAAGACCCCACTGTAGTTGCTTTCCTCCTCAGTCCTTTACTCATGTTTTCCTAGAGCTATTCCTAAATAGAAGCTGTTTAGAAGGCACACTTACTAAAAAGGGATCCTAGAATGGGACCATTAACCTTTCCAACAGAGCTAAGGACCCCATTACTGTTGGTAAATGGGACGATAATCATCTCTGGCAGGCAGTTACCAAAACTCTTACCCATGCGAGATTACACTGTGATGCCAGTGAAACTAAAACATTGCCTTGTGTCAGTGTTTATTAATAGGGGTGATTTTACCCCCCAGGGGACATTTAGCAATGACTGAAAACATTTTTATTTTTTAAAAA